TTACAAAGGCTGGAACAATTGAGCTCATATACTGTAGAAGTGAAGATCAACTTGTAGATATATTCACAAAGCCTCTCAAATTTCCTTCGTTTCTAAAGTTAAGAGAATTGTTGGATGTTTGTATGCGGGATATTTGAGGGAATTCGGAGTTTTCTGTTTTGTTTTTGAATTGTGTATTAAATTGAATGTTTGAACATCAGTTTAAAGGAGGGGTTGTTGGAAAAGAGTTTGTTTGCTAGTTGTTGTCCTAGTCTTTTGGGAACTTGTTGTGTTCAGCAAGTTAGTTTTTTATTTACCTAGTCTAATAGGTGTTAGTTTTGGCACGTTGTGTAGTGCCTATTTTCTTGCTTTTATTCGTTATGTATAAGCCTGTATAAAGGCGGTTCTTTTTGTTGAATAAATACACAGACAATTACTTTCTCTATCTACTTTTGTCCTTTAGTTTTTATTAAGTAAAAGCCTGACCTCTTTTACTTGTTTCAGCAGAAACACTATTTTTCTCTTCTTTATTTGTAACAATTACAATGTGGAGTTTATTCTTATTTATAACTATCTCAAATTAGGAATAGAATTTTTTATGACTATGTAGAGTTTATTCCTATATAGGGTATCACTATAGAGAGGTTTTACTGTATAAAGAAACCCATAAAAATCATAATTTCATAAAAGTAAACTAAACTAAAAACCCATTTGGAAATAAATTCCTTAGATAATAAGGATTAGTCCTGCATCAAAACTATAAGTTATTAAGTTCAGAGAAATATATGAGCTTTATAATATTTATTACATGTAATTGGTTCAATTAAGTTAATATTAGATGACCCTATTAAGGTTGTAATTGTAAATATTTAAAACTTATGGATTGTTTGAAAATTTCAGGGAAGGTGCTAGCCCACCCAACGCTGGCTCTATATATCGAGTTGGTTAAGTATCTATACTTCAAATGAGACCGGTTCACCTAGAGAATAGTTTTGCTCTATATCAATTATAACAAATACAAATGGATAGAACTCACTCTTACAAACCGGCTTATAAAAGAAGGGAGTCCGAGTGATTGTTAACCCACATGTCAAGCCCATAGTTTAGCGATATAAAACTCAATTTATGATTTGGTCATCTAAATACTTTGTCTATACATTGATTTAAGGAACTAATTATAAATCGTACAGTCATCCATTTTTATTACTAAAAAGTTAAGTAAACTTGGTAACCTAGCTAATAAAAAGTTCTAACACACGACGGGTTAACCAAAAGGCAAAGGTCGAGCCAGGATTGTGATTTTGGAATGACTAGAAAGAAAACTTGATATGTAAAATTCAATCATTAGAATAAAAAAAATATAAATCTTAACTTATATATATATATATATTAAGAATATTAAAAAATTAAAAATAACAATACTTTTTATTGATATTATTTTAAATCAATAATTACCTATTTATTTTAAATTAATTTATTAAAATTGTTAAAGTAAATGAAACATTATGTCATTGACCTACCATTTTACTTGATATTAATTAGTATGATATATATGTATTATATAAAAGGTATTATTTAATATACAACACAATATTTATATGAGCATTTATAGTATTATTTAATATTATACAATACTTTTACTATTATATTGTCCATTAGTAAATCATGCTAATTGAATAAATAATTTAATCGATACTTTTAAAATACCTATACTTATCATTGTTATAATATGAAAAATAAGTAATAATAGTTGAAAATGAAAATTATATTAATGTCTCACATATAATTTAAATGAAATTCTCTATTTATAAAATAAAGAATACAACAAAACTTATATTAAAAAAAAAAAAAAAAACACGAAAACAATTTTCAAATATATAACAACACAAGTACACAATTGAAATTAGAGTTGATAGACCCTTAAAAATTCTCTTATTATTGATGAACGTCAAATTTTACACTATTATAAATAGAGGTGAGCAGTTCCGAGTATTTTGTATTTTTTTAAGGAACCGGAACCGGTTGATTCCTAAGATTTGGAATTAAATCAGAACCGAAACTTGAAATATAGGTTTCGGTTCCAATTCCCGATAACCGAGTTAATTTTATTATCTCCCTCCTTTTGAAAATGACAAATACACCCTCCCAAAAATCAAATACACCTTAATAATTTACAAAAATTGCAATTAAATCTTAGTTCCTACTCGGGTACCTAGACCTCGATTCCAGTTCCGATTCTCAGTTTCTACAGTGTTGGAATCAGAATTCTCGATTCCAATTTTCTAGAATCGAAATCGGACTCTAATAGGGCCAGTTTCAATTCTACCCTTTACCCATGCTCACCCATAGTTATAAGTTACCTAAAATTATCAAATTACCCTTTTACCATTATTTCAACATCTAAAACTTGAGGATAGAAGGATTTCTATTATTTCCTGAACCGCAGATAATTTTTTGTTATTTTAACGTTAACTCAGGGAATTAACGTCATTAACTCTTTAAATTATTAAAATATCGAGTATATGATTTCTTATAATTTTTAAATTTTATTTTATATTTCTTTTTAATAATAATAATTATTTTTATCCTCCATTATCTCCATTATTAACAAAACATATATCCAAATTTTCCACTTCTCTTCAGTTGCTTTAATTCTCTCGAAGATTTATCACCATCCCCCTCCTCGCAGCTACTCCCATAGAGAACCCAGGTCAGTTAATCTTGAAGTGTTCCATTTCCTGTGTTCAATTGATTTCTCCATGACACCATTAACTAAAGCTTGAATTTTTGCTGAGTTGAATCATTAAGTGTATATATATGTGTATGGTAACTGCGCAGTTGCTTTTCGAAGCAGTTGTTTTGATTAAAGTTTCAACTCTTCACTATAATCTCTTGAACTGGGTTTTTGAGTTCATGTATATATCTCAAAGGGTTTTTATTCTATTGAACTTTAGGTGATGTTTAAGATGACAAGAAAATTGAGGTTTCTTGACTTTTTCAAGTTCAAACATTTCAGAATACTGTATTCTTTAATTCTCTGGTAGTTCAATGCTGTGGACTTTGAGAACTTAGAGGAGATGATGCAAAACATTTGGTTGATTGGAACCTTGGTTTGGAGTTGCTATATTTATTGCATCCAATGTGTCCATTTTGTCAAGATGCAATCTTTGAGTCATCGGATGTAGTTGAGCTTGTTTATAGAAACCTGGGGTCTTGGGGTCCTATCAGAGATGGGTTTTTTTCGTGGGGAAGAATCTGAAGATAAGAATACCAAGGATGAAGATCATGATGTGGTGTGTGAAATGCAAGAAGTAATTTAGAACTTTTTAGAAATTTTAACCAATCCAATGTGTGTTCACTAAAAGATGGGTCAATCTAGTTATTTATTTGGCATGTTTACATAGGTCCCCTTGCATTAGATATGACATATCTAAATTGTGAACAACACAAGAAATGCATTAAGATGAAATTTATAGTGGAATCCAGCATCACCCGAATCGCAGCTAACAAAAGCTATCCAACTTTTGCAGGGTCTGAGATAGGAAAAATATGTTGATAGCATTAAAGATGAGTATGCCGGCTCCATAAACAGGCATTCGTTTAGAAGATAAATCCAATGGTTTTCCTTTGGCTTCTTGTCCTCTCTCTGTCTCTAAACCATCTTGGGTGGTTCGAACTGAGGCAAAAACTTGTCTTTTCTCAAAATCATTTATAGAAATAGAAACAACCATCAGTACTGAAAGTAGTGCCATGTTTTATGTTGTTAATTAATGCTGTTTATTGCAGTCGAATGTTCGGAAACATGTAAGGAAAAAGCCAGATCCACCATGTGTTGTCTGCCAAGGTACCGGACGAGTTGATTGCTTCCATTGTTATGGAAAAGGTCTCTCCTCTTTCTGTGGGTTTTAATTTGTGAAATTCTTGATGCCATAGTAATTTTTTGCTCACCTAATTGGTATAAGAATGTCAAATCTTAATCAAAAAGTCTACCTCATCCATTCTCCATTTTTAGTTTATGTTCATTGACACTCGATTGGTGGGAGAGAAAAGGAAATTCAGAAGGAACAAAAGAAAGAAGTATTTCCCTTTGTATTTGTATGATGAAATGAAAGCAGGGTTATTCCTTCCCTTGTATTTTGCTCCTATTAATACAGAGGGTAGTGATGTTTAATACTAAAGAATAACAAAGGGAGTCAACTTGTTGAGTCTTGTCAATTTAGCATTATTTTTAGTTTCAATTTTGTGTTTATTTATGCTTGATTTGTATCAGTTTTCAGTGCTTGCTAAGCTCTGTGATTTTCCACTAAAAACATAAATTAGTTTTTAACATACCGTGATATTGTAGGCAGGACAAACCACGTCCATCTAGCAATGCTTCCCAAAGGAGAATGGCCAAAATGGTGTGTTATTGAATCATTTTTGTTACCTATATTTCCATTAGTAAACTGCATGGTTGTCACACAATAGTGCCAATCCGAACCGTTTGCAGGTGCAAAACTTGTGGTGGTAGTGGCCTCGGCTACTGCTCCCGTTGCCTTGGAACTGGGGAGTACAGGTCTAGAATGGGTTTCCATTTCATGAAGAAGGATTCTGATGACAAGAAGCCCAAAATTCGAGCCAGCCAAGGAGCACAAACTGCAGCAGATCGATTTCTTTTAGGAGAGCAATAGGACGCCAACCAGGAAATATGAAAACTGGATACACAGCTTGATACATGTCATAGGTTTGCAAGTACTAGGAAAACCTCCAAGCCTTCTCTTTACAATATAGATTGATAGATTAATATAATTTATGTTGTACTTCTTCAATGGAAGCAGTATTTCCAGTTTCGAATCTTAAATTCTGCACAATGCTAATTGAATTTGAGGCAGGTTTTCACTGTCTTTGCAATATAGACTGGTCGATTAACATTAATATTATTGTATGCATAGTATCTGATAACTTTTTTACTTTTGCACACAAATTAACACACAAGATTGAGGGAATCAGAAGCTGAGAAAAGGAGGGAATGTGAAGGTGGGCATACACAGAAAGTTGCAAAACGATATATTCGTATCAGAGAATTTATTGTAAATCTAGTTCTACAATGCGGAGGTATAAAATTAATGGATAAGAAGGTTATTTTATTCATATATTACAATCATAGAGAATTCGACCATTCAACTACAAGAAGAATCATAAAGGTGAGTGAATCCACCCTTCTCTCAGTTATTTTTTCATCTTCTCTATTTGAATAATTCTCTATTCTCCTTCTATTTACTGAAAGAAAATGCCAAAGAATGACAGGAGAAAAGCGCCAACCAAAGATTCAGCAACAGGCATGGTTGCGGCTGATTCACTAGGAGCAGCAGCTGCTGGTGTGGGAACTGATGCAGAAGGACCTGGAGCTGGTGCAGGAGCTAACGCATCCTTCGCCATAGTTGCGGTCATGGAGGCAGCTAGGATGAGGACAGCGCATAAGATCATCTTCATATCCATGGCGAGAAGGTTGAGTAAATTGGTAAAATAGAACTCGAAAATGAGATCTAATCACCGGAAACGCGAAGCCTTGGAGATGAAGAAGTGAGTAAAGGGTTTTTCTTATTTGCAATCCTGAAGAGAACTATAGGGTGAAGAGGGGTTATATAGGGAGTCTGTTGAGAATTTGTCTGGTTTTTTGAGGGTTGTGTGGATGAATTTGAATGAGAAAAAGCTGGCGAAGGGTGTGGTAATGTTAGGTAATTAATTACACTGGGCAGCTATTTGTAGTTCTGTGATGTTCAATTAGTTATAATAATATGACTTGTAAAAGCCTTTTTGAGGTTTTATTTTATATACTCCTTGTGGGATTTTTTATTTTGAGCATACCCCCTTTTTATTAAATACCCCTTTTCATTTATAAAAAATCCCCTTTTCTCATGGGATTTTCAATAATTATAGAGCGGTTTTTGATAGTTTTTGAAAATATTGGTTGTGCTAAGATTAAACAATCTCATAAAGGGGTGTATAAAATAAACCCAATTTTTTTAATTGAATTATATGATATTTAATCCGTAATTAGGAAATAATAATACTTAAATTACCTTTGTTGATCATTTTAAGTAGTGGCTGTTATTGGCCTTTGAACAGTAACAAATTAAGGTTGAACCAAATATAATAGGATCTTGAGATCCTAAAGGCTCGGATTTGATTAAAACTTTTAATTTAAAAATAATAAGTAAAAGACTATGAGTAATAATTTTAAAGTCAATAAAAAATTTTAATAAATGGACACATCAAGGTATTGATAATTCTTTTATTACTTCAGTAGGTTACTCTTACACTCCAATGATTTCATTTACATGATTATCAAAGAGACAAAAATTATAGTTATTAAAAAAATATCCAAAGATACCTTGTGTGAACCCTTTAAATAATAATTATTACGGGTTAATTTCATTCGGTCTAACTTAAATATAAAGCTTTCAATCCTTTTTGGAAGCTGTCAAATACCCTTTAAAATAACCAAAAACCCCATTAAAAAATCCTAAAAATAATTTTTTTTAAACTTTACAAATATTGAAATTTTCTATTAGTATCAAAACAGTTTAGGAGAGGTATATTTAATAGTTTTGGACAGTGTTTTAATAACCAGGTCGGGGTAAAACCCGACAAAATGGCCGGGTCTCGGGTTGATCAATTTAACCGATTTGACTGCCGGGTCAAACCAATGTCCAAAGGTTTGAAATCCAACAAAACACCCAAAAAAAATTACATATAAGTTCCTACACGTTTGAAATCTTGCAAAAACACCACAAACACCACTATCGGGGTCGATAACCCAGGGCAAATATGGCCTATTTCTAACGATGACAACACTCCCCATCACCACGAAAACACTCCACTTAGCCTCCCGACCAAAACTCATCTCACCCCCCCCTCGTCGCCTCGCCAACAGCCTACTGTTGCTGCTGATTTATTTTTGCGATTTTCAATCTATTCACTCATCAAAAATCACCTCCGTCACCACCTTTCCACTCACTATCTCTTCCTCTTCAAAACCCTAACATCCTAGCCTTTAATTGTTTGTCATCCTAATTTCTAAGGTTTTCAATAAATAGTAAAATTGGTAACCCAACCGGTGAAGGCCTCGAGTCTCGTTGAATCGATTCACCCGGTCGGACCAAGCCGGGTTTTAAAACACTGGTTTTGGATGATCCTTGTGACACTGGGGCCTTAGTAATCCCTAATAAATAATGAAATTAACCTGATTATATACAAAAATATAATGATTGATAACTATAGAGGGTTTTTTATAGTTTATAAATAGCTTGAGTGTTTTAAATTAAACAATTTCATATGAAATATAAAATCAAGACTACAAAAAAAGCTAAAAGGTTATTACAAAATTCCAATGGTACCTCATATTAACTATTACATGATGATTATTACAAAAGTTATAAAAATCTAATTATTTGTAGCCAGATAACATCAACCTAATATCATAAACAAAGCGTAATTCTGAAATAAATTTAGTGTTGGTTAGATAGGTTAGTGTCGAAATTATGAGCAAATGAGACTCAAAGAGATAATGTAGTGAATTTAATTATTATTGAAATGATTAATATCTAAAATCTGCTGGAATAAGAAAACATAATCATGGGGACTGGGGTGAACATCTTGCCATGGCAGAGGCCAAGAATAACCTCGAATTGTGGGCGTATGATTGATGGCTTGAATAAATCAGAATACATTTATACGTTTTTGGCCTGGTGATCTTAACATTTAGTACACAAATATCTGGTGAAAACGGTAGAATAATACGAGAAAAGATAAATCAATCTTCCGAATATAATTAATTTTTCATATCAACATACATGTTTGACATGTAATACATTTCTTTTTGCAACTGATATGTAAATCAATCTATTCTCCGGCCATCTATTTATTGAAAGAAAATGCCGAAGAATGACAACAGAAAAGCGCCAATCAAGGATCCAGCAACAGGCATGGTTGCGGCTGATGCACTAGGAGCAGCAGCTGCTGGTGTGGGAACTGATGCAGAAGGACCTGGAGCTGGTGCAGGAGCTAACACATCCTTCTTCGCCACAGTTGCGGTCATGGAGGCAGCTACGATGAGGACAGCGCACAAGATCATCTTCATATCCATGGCGAAAAGGTGGGTACTAAACCGGTAAAATAGAACTCGAAAATGAGATCTAATCACCGGAAACGCGAAGCCTTGGAGATGAAGAAGTGAGTAAAGGGTTTTTCTTATTTGCAATCCTGAAGAGAACTATGGGGTGAAGAGGGGTTATATAGGGGGAGTTTTCTGAGGGTTGTGCGGATGAATTTGAATGAGAAAAAGCCGGCGGAGGATGTGGTAATGTTAGGTAATTAATTACACTGGGCAGCTATTTATAGTTTTGTGACTCATAAAAGCCATTTGTACTGAATTCTGAGATAATTAATCCTTAATTAGGAAATAATAGAAGAAAATTCAATAAACCAATTGAGGTTTAACCAAATATAATAGGATCTTGAGTTCCTAAAGACTCGGATTTGATTTTACAAATTAATAAAAAAAAATAAGTAAATTACCATTGATTAATAAATTTAAAGTTTAACAACAGGCTACTCAACCAACTCCTGGATAGTCGAGTAGTTCAATATAGATTTTTTGGTGTATTACTCAGGAGATCTTGAGTTCGACTCCTTCCTCGGTTGCTAATAAGGGTTATCATTGGAGCCTCTAAAGCTTTTATTCAGTCGATAATACTAGTTTCTTAATATATTAGTTGAAGTGTGCGTAAACTGACCTACCTAGACACTCTCAATAATTTAAAAAAAAAAACACAATAGGCTACTCTTACATTCCAATTATTCCATTTATATGATTATCAAGGAATATAAAAAATATTTTATATTTAAAAAGCCCAATGATTCCTTGTATGAAATATTTAGATAATTATTGTTACGGGTTAATTTCTTTTGCTTCTAAAAGATTGTTAAATGTCAAGCGTTCAATCATTTTCGAAAGCTGTTAAATACCCTTTCAGATGACCAAAAACTCCATTAAAAATGTTAAAAAAATACTCTTAAAATAATTTTTTTAAAACTTAACAAATATAAAAAATCTTCTATTAATATAAAAAACATCCAAGTAAAGGTTCATTTAATAGTTTCAAATAATCCTTTGTGACATGGGAGACTTAGTAATCCCTAATAAACAATGAAATATAACCTGATTATTTACAAAAATATAATGATTGATAACTATAGAGGGTTTTTTTATAGTTTACAAAACGCTTTAGTCTTTTAAATTAAACAATTTTATATGAAATATAAAATTAATAATTTTAAGACGATAAAAATGAGTTAAAAGGTTGTTAAAATTTCCAATAATACCTCGTATTAACCATTACATAATGGTTATTACCAAAATTATAGAAATCTAATTCTTGGTAGAAAGATAACATTAGCTTAATATCATAAGGTGCGTTTGGTTGAATATTCCTATCCATATTCCCAAATTATTTGTTTGTTTAATTATTTAGTAAATATTAGTTTATTTTTTTAATTAATTTTAAACCCCTTAAGTTTATTAATTTCATAAATACCACCAGGAAAAATTTTAAAATTTAACAAAAACACCCCCACCTACCCACGGTGCTAGATTTCGGCCACTACTGCCGGAATATGGCCGGAAAAGGGCGTTACGACTCAGACTGGTCAGATCTGGCGAGTAGGGCATTGATATAGCCTTTTTCGACCACATCGACCACGGATCTAGTTGGAAAATGCCAGATCTACGGCCAGATTTGGCCGTCGACGACCACAAAAGTCCAGACGGCCATTTCTTTGGCCGTCCATGACGGTCAGATCTGACCTTTTCCGGCGAGATCCACTGTGGATCTAGCCGAAAAATGCCACATCGATGAATTACCGGCCAGTCCAGTCGTTTGTAGGCCGTTGTGACAGATTTCGACTACCATCGCGGTGGTTGTCGGAATCTGACAAGTATGAGTGGGTGGGGGTGTTTCTGTTAATTTTTAAACTTTTTTTTGGGTATTTAATAAAATTAATAAACTTAAGGGGTCTTAATTAATTAAAAAAAATACTAATATTTCCTAAATAATTAAACAAACAAATATTTTGAGAATAAGATTGAGAATATGGATAAGAATATTCAACCAAATGCACCTATAATAATCAAAGATTCTTAATTCTAAAATATGTTTGGTGTTGGTTACGTGGGCTAGCATTTTGCCATAGCAAAGTCATGAAGCAAAAGCACCTCAAATCGTGAGCGTGGGGATGATGGTTAAGGAAATAAGGTTGCACATATTTTAATAACTTGGTTTAAGATAAACGGTTGGTCCTGACAAGTGGTATCAGAGCTTGCCAGAGAACATATTACTTTTGGGTAGATGTTTAGTGGAATTATTCTCTAACTAGGCCAACATCTTGCCATGGTGGAGGTCAAGAAGCCAAATCTCCGAATCATGGATATAAGGGCTAATGGTTTAAGAAAATTAGGTTACGTTTATGCTAACAGCTATTGTTTTTGACATGACGATAAACATCTGATCTTGGCATTTAGTACACAAATATTGGGCGAAAACATTAGAATAGTTTGAGGAAAGATAATGACTTTATATATATGAATTATTAATACAAATTATTTTTATAAACTGCTGTGACAACTTTATATGTTTAACACACACATATAGTTATCAAATTTATTTTTAATTTAAAATCTTATAATCATCTCACAGCACAGAAAATTGTAAAAGTTGAAGAGGAAGAAAGATTTCTCCCATGACCGTTGGATCCAACGGCTAGTTTCCAATTAAAGCAACCGCTAATACTGCCTTAATTATACTCATTAATAATAATATCTT